TTGATACAATAGCCAATGTAGACGCTTACAATCAACCCACAACCCAATCCATCTAAAAACCCCATCATCAACCAGAATCGAATAACTAACCAAAATCGAAGAAAGGGTAGTTGGGATCTTTACCCATAGCGACGGAATTGATCTCTAACAGTGAGGACCTCGGGGTCGAAGTAGCTAGGAGAAGTGTCCATATCCATCTCCATTTTTTCTCAATCCAACCTCAAAAGTTGAAAAGCTCGTGCGTCGATTAGGGTTTTTGCTCGTTAAAATCTAAAACCCTCCGCCTAGTGGAAGACTTCGCCGGCACCAATACACGGGAACAGTCACGCGGCTAAATTTAAAGAAAAGCTAGCTAAAACGCCGCGTTTTAACTTTGAAGCTCAGTGAAAGGGTATAACCGTAATTAGATAGAAAATTAGGGGTAGTAGATATAGCTATCTATATATATAAAAGAGGGTTTTCCCTCATTCTAGACTGCCATGTCATAAAATAGGGGAATGAGCATTTGCCACCTGTCCTAATCCAACGTAAATCTTACTATCTTTTGTGTTTTAATGAGCTTTTAAATGCATGTTTCTGGGCTTCAAAATATTACGTTGAAATGAATACTTAAAGATTATTGGCCCAATATTTTCGTGTGATTCGTCTTCTCTTTCTATACGGTATTGCCATTAGGGTTCTTTATAATCTACAAATCTGCTTATGTCTATCATTTATGAAGATTTTAAAATTTTCAGATTGAGATACTTAAGCTCTGTTGGCGGCGTTTCGTTTTGGTTACTAACCACATTGTCGTTACAAGTTTATTGATTCAGCATTCATTCAACATCATTAAGTCTTCCTTTTTTCTCACGACCCACTACAACCACCATTACGTATTCAATGTATCTTTATCCTCTTTCAAGGGGTGAATCTCCTATAAAAAGATTAGTCCTCCTGCATTGAGTATCACCCTCACAATTCCAAAAGCATTTGATACTTCTTTTTCATTATAATGGCTAAGCAGCTATGTTCTACTAGCTGATATGATGGCCGGCGAGTGTTCCTCCACTGTTGAAGTGAGGTTGCTCAGATTCTTGGAATTGCCTGAAGCTTTAAACGTGGTGGCAATTTGATGGACGTTGACATGATCTTCATCGATGCTAAAGTTCTCAGTTCTTGAAACTCATGAACAGATTTTTCTGTTAACTATTTCTGGTTTCGATAGTCATAAATCTACAAAACTCTGTATCCAGATCTTTTTCCAAAATATAAATCTTGAACCTGTTTGTTTATTTGATTTATTTGGTGTCACCTTTAAGAAGGCTCGCGCATCAGCAGCTTCAATTCAAAAAGGCACGAAAGGAGTAATTAGAGTTGATATAATGTCTCGAGCCAGTTCTTACAGTTCGTATAATGCTTTCGCACCGATGTGGGTTTTTAAAATTATGTCCTTATCTAGAGTTGCTATGTTTTTGTTTTTATTTTATTTTAATATTACCAACTTTGATAATTTATTTTATTTTAAGACTATTATGAAAACAAAGCGTTTGTGAATTGTAACAAAACTTTCCCACCTCATTAAATCACTAAGTTTAGGTTTACTGCTCATCACAAATTTAATAGTAGAATTAAAATTTGTTCATCTAAATAATAATAGAAATTTTATGTAATAAATGTTACATTAAGTAATATTTTATTTTCGTAACAAAACAGTGAATGTTCTATGTATTAAACTTTGATTTAATAAATCAGAGGCAAAGCTGAATTTTTAATGTTATATAAACAACCAAATTTTAATGTTAGTTATTAATGTTAGGCTGTTTCTCTATATGAATTTCAGTAGTATTTTTGGTGTCATATAAACAACTTACGTCTTCATCTTCTTTATTTGATTTTTTAATTCAAACTGAAAATCAAAAACACTATCACTGATTTGATATTTTTGTTGTGTAGTTATCTAGAGTTGATTAATATAACTATAGAATTCATGTTTTTTTTCCTAACATTTAAAGAATTCATATTACAATAGAGAATGATGATCATGTACAGTCACTTTTGAGTTGAGTTTTAAAACATGATATTAATTTGTTGCGTTACTCGCAAATCAGCACCTTTTTTGTTTGGGCTACAAATATACAGTACTACATTTACTTGCTCATAAAATCATTCCCATTAAAACCAAAAACAGTCCATGCTATGCCACTCACCGTTTAGCTCACCTCATATCCTTAACCATCATCTAATAAAGTCAGAGAATCTGTTAACATAGAAATCACAGCAACAGTACTCAGACATGGTCAAGAAGGCAGCCAAGAGAAGAGCTAATGCTGTTAACGGCGAGCAGATCAACAGCAACCAAGGTCGTCGTATCATAAACGCGGACTCAGAAAATGATACGGACATTGACGATGAATTCATCTCAGGTACCTAAAGTTGCTTTAAAAATGATTGGGTTGATGTTTCCTAGAAAATTATGTGAACTTATCAATCCATCCAAGACATGCAAACAGAAGTGCCCGTGGTTAGATGCTCAGTATCTCTCTCATGAGACACTTGAGAATTTCAGCTATCATTCACCAACAAGTACATATTTGTTGTCTGTCATGCTTTTTTTTCTTTTGAAAAATAAACAAACAGTATCGAGAATATATAGAACTTTCCACCAAATGTTTAAGAGTCTCATTAGAACATTGCTATTTACTGCGTACACATTTATGATTTTCAAGTTTATATGAAACTTCCATCTATTGCATCCTGTCTAACATGATCTATCTCATACAGTAATTGCAACACGATTAGCTCAGCAAACCCGGATGCTCCTTCGATCTACTAATTAAATCGACACATATATTATCAGGAATCAAGAGGTTAGTCACAATTAACCGTTTCTTATACAAGTAACATTCTCAGTGTCCATAACTCACAAAAAATCTTTTACTTCCTCAGCTAAAACTCAAACATTTAAAAGACGTGGGAGAGGAAGAACTCACACTTTACCAGGTACAAATATATATGTACATAACAATTATACTTTTCAAGACTAACAACAATAGTGACAACAATCGTTACCACCAATATAGATTCCATTTGAAACACACCAGATAGCAAATTATAACAACAAGTATATAAGCCATAACAACTCGAAAATCAAATCCCGCGCGTAGCGCGGACCGACCCTAGTTAATGATAATCACTACAAAAAAAAGACTGTATTACATCACTTAAATTGTATCACAAAGATAAGTGATATTAGTTTGAATTATTTATTAAAAAGTGATGCAGAATATTTGTTTCAGTATCAGTTATAGTAAACGATGTTCTTAAAATTTATCTAACATCATTTTCATTGCAACTGATACAAATATATACTAGTTTACATCAGTTCAAACAACTGATACAAAATATACGTTTACATCACGTAAATAACTGATACATGTATTAACTTGTGTTTATATCAGTTAGAAAAATGATATAAAGTAACATTATTTATAATAAACGATGCAAATTTGATATAAAAATAAATTAGTTTACAAAATATTAGTATATGTCGTTCATTTTATTGTTTTGATGATTCCAGAGCTTATTTTTATAAATTCGAATATTCAATATTGATTAAATAAATTTTTATTCTATCTTACAAAAAAATCTGATTAAATAATCAACCTAAAATTAATTCTGTAAAATATATATAGCTGAATTTTTACATCAAAATATATGTAAATGATTATAAATACATAATTATTAAAAAAAACTAGATGAAAAGATTTTACGACATATATGGTAAAATTTTACCTGAAATAAATACTTATAGTTAATTGACATTTAACCTGAAATAAATGCGTTATTTACTCCAACTCTCGTTAGGAATGTATTATACTGACCTTTTATTTAGTTTGTTAAGAAATTTTTGTGACATTAAAAATAAATATTTTTTGACAAAGAAAAATAAAAATATATGTTACCACAAATATAGGGATCTCCTTTTTTATCTCACTCCACAAACTCACATTCCTTTTATCACGTCAAAAACTTCTCTAACTCCCACAACATTTAGAAAACTTTTTTCAACCACCGTTTTCAAAGTTGATATCTGATGACTGATCATCTTCTAAAAACTTCAAAGAATTTATTACTTTGTATTACTACATGTTTTCTTTTATTCCCTCACCTATTCGTTTCTGTTTGCTATTTGGAATAGTATTCACATTCCTAATAATCGTTGATAGATGAAAGTGATGATAAGGTAAATTTCATCAGTGGAGATATACTTCGAACGTTTTCTACAGGAGAAACATAAGAGGTATTTAAGATTATATGCTATTCAATATTTATAAATCAATATTCTCAAACAGATTCATCAAAGGTCTTATGAAATTTATTTTCTTTAGTTTTTACAGGGAAGTGTATCTTCAGATATGTTGATCTTCAAAGAATCTTCATCATGAACAGTTTACAATTCATGGCAGAAATAGAGCATGTGACCTCTACAAGAAGGAACAAAGAACAATGAAT